CCGGGGGCTTTGGGGCTGCTGGGTACAGATGTTTTCTCACTCTGGACCTGGAGCTTCAGCTCCACTCAGCTTTCAGCTTCAAAAGATGAGATTCAGACTTTTTATCTTGCTTTCTCAAAACGAATATTTTCACTATCCCTCCTTTTTTTCACAGGTTTGAAATAGTTTTTAACTTGTAATGTTTAGAAATAGCAAACAATCAAATGTTGTGTTCTCCTTTCTTCTGGAATATTTCAAGCTGAATGAAGTACAGACTTACTTTACTAACTCTTGCTGATTTCAACATGATTAAATATTCCGGTTATTCAGAAAATTAATGGACTTTGACAATAAATCAGGTCACAGAATAATGTCAGGGCTTTTTAAATGTAATGTTGAAATGTACATCTATAACTTAAAGAGATTGAAAAACTGATTTTGGTTTATTAGTTTATCAGTTAGGTTTTGACTTTACAAACATGGGTACAGCAGAACCTCTACATACAAATTGTATGTTAAAATATTGGTATGTTTGTTCAAATATTCCATCAGAATACACTGTAATTCCTATAATTTGTTCCAAAAACCTACGATAACTCCTTAATAAATACTACTGATAATTAAACATAGCAATAAAACAAATGCATATTACATAAGAGAGATGTAAAAAGAAATAAGTTATAAAGAAATAATCAATAAAAAGGGTTTTTATTGGCACTTTTTGGGGAACGGAGGTAGAGGTGGAGACAGAGATACAGTATGAACTCTAACTTACTCTGACTTTCATTACGTGAACATAAACTAACTTAGCTTTTTTTTTCTTTTTTTTAACATTTTCTTATTTTTGTATAACTTTGACGTCATATGTATGAAATTTACTCCGGGTGTCGAGTCGAATATTTGATCAAATTTTATTTTTTATTTTTTAAACATTACTTTATTGTCTTTTAGAAACAAAACAAAAAACAACAATTCAGCACAGCCAAGTCTAATACAAAATATGAAATGTCCAGCAAAATGTCAGGTATATAAATTTCAAATACACATCAGGGTCAAAACCTATACTCCATATGATAAATCAAGGGGAAAAAAATATAAACAAAAACAATCAAACGTAATGTTTAAAGACAAAATGTGATCCCCCTTTGCGTACTAGCTCGGCAAGCTCACTAGGCAGATGATCAAGCAAAGGCTGCCACACTCCATAGAAATCATTACAGTTTCCCTTTATAATGGCACTGAGGCGCTCCAGCGGAAACACCTTGAACGTTTCTCTGTACCACTGTGTTACAGAAGGGGGCTGTCCCCGAATCCACTGGAACAGTACACATCGTCTTGCCAAATGTAAGAGTTTACGGAGTAAAGTCATTTGTGTTGAAGATAGAGAAAGCCCATCTACAGAAAGACCAAGAATAAACAGCACAGGGTTCAGTGGGACTGTCTGGTGAAAGATTGAACGAAGCTCTATAGAAACGTTATTCCAGAATCTAGCGATTATAGGGCATTTCCATATACAGTGGTAGTAAGTCCCCACATCTGTATTGCACTTTACGCAAAGAGGGGAAATTTGAGGGTGAAGTTTATGTAAAAACTCTGGGGTATGCTGCATTCTATGTAGAATTCTGTAATGGCTTTCCCGAAGTCTGTTACAAGTAAACATTTTCTTAGCAAACCTAAAAGCTTTTGACCATGCTTCTGAGCTAAGCTCAACTTCCAAGTCTGTTTCCCATCGAACCCTGGCCTTATCAGTTGTAACAAAATTCAAAGACAGTAATTTCCCATAGCACAGAGAAATGAATTTCTTTTTAGTGAGTGCATCTTCATTAAATTTAAGAAGAAAGCTTTCAATAGGGTTCAAAACAGGTTGGTTGACTGGGAATTTAAGATAATTTACAAAGTGTTTTTTGGTGATTCTAAGAGGCAGCATTTGCATAAGATATAATATTCTAGGAAGAACATTTATTTTAATAAAACTTATTCTACACATCCAAGATAATGGAAGGTCAAACCACAGATTAAGGTCATTTTTGATTGAGGCCACAATTGACTTAAAATGTAACTTGTATAGCTCTGTTATTTCCGAAGACACCCTGATGCCCATATATGTAAAACCTGTGATCGACCACCTGAAAGGAAAATTATCAGGAGTGTCCCCTCCCCCCTGGTCACCAAGTGGCAAAGCTTCTGATTTATCATAATTTATTTTGTACCCTGAAAAAAGGCCAAACTGATTAATGGTGGATATTAGTGCAGGGATAGATGTTTCTAGCTTAGTGACAAACAATAACACGTCATCTGCATAAAGCGAGATTTTGTATTCAGTATCTCCCAAGGTTACTCCAGAAATCCCAGAGTGGGTTTTTATAGCTTCTGCCAATGGCTCCAAAGCGAGCGCAAACAATAAAGGGGAGAGGGGACATCCCTGGCGTGTCCCTCTACTCAGAGGAAAAATATCAGAAGCAGAACCATTTACCAAGACCCTTGCAGCTGGAGCCCCGTATAACAGTTTGACCCACTTGGCAAATTAAGATCCCAAACCAAACCTTTCCAAAACATCGAATAGTTACTCCCACTCCACACGATCGAATGCTTTCTCACAATATTTATAAGTCGGCGTACGTTGGAGTGGGAGTTTCTATTTTTGACAAAGCCTGTCTGGTCAGGCTTTACTAGAACTGGCAGAACCTCCTCCAATCTCTTAGACAGTATTTTTGACAAAATTTTGCAGTCTACACCAAGCAAACTTACTGGCCTATCCTTCTTCAATATCAGAGATATGTGGGCAAGGTTGAGGGTAGATGGGAGCACGCCCTTCTCAAATGATTCCATGTACATATTTAATAAGGGATTTGCTATGTGTTTAGCCATTTTCTCATAAAACTCCGGCCCAAACCCATCAGGGCCTGGAGCTTTTCCACCCTGTAGAGATTTGATGGCTTCTAAGACTTCCTGTGTCCTAATAGGTCTACATAAATCTAATTGTCTCTCTTCCGACAGTGTATGGAGGTTAATATTATCCAAAGAGATAAAAAGCTCCCATTGATCTTCTAAATATTTAAAAAATACAGAGTCACTAAGCAAAGTTGGATTAAGTCTAGACAAAGAGTCATAATAAGGTGGTAAAAATTCAATTGAAACTGAAGAATGGTCTGAGAGAGCGCATGTGTTAATTGAACAACCCTGAGTTCTGTCAAGAACAGATCTGGAAACAAATATATAATCAATTTTAGAAAAAGAAGAATGGGAATGTGAAAAAAAAGTAAAGTCTTTCACATGTGGGTTACAAATTCTCCAGGCATCCAAAAGACCAAGATCTGAGCATAACTCAATTGTAGCCTTAACCATTCTTGAGGGTAGTTGAGATTTTGGTGGATTATAATCTGTTTCAGGGGCTAAACCGCAATTAAAGTCACCACCGATTATTATGTGGTTTGGACAGATTGAAGAGGCCTCTGCCAAAAATGTTGAATAAAACCTACCATCAAAAGCATTTGGAGCATGGACACTACCTAGAAGAATTTGCTCACCATGCAGAAGCCCAGAAACCAAAACAAATCATCCATCTGCATCCCTTATGATCTTATTCAAGGTAAATGGTAATTTTTTAACTCCCCGACTTTTAGAGTTAAAGGAGGAGTAGTAAATCTGTCCCACCCAGTCAAGCTTAAGTTTTGAGTGTTCAAGATCAGTTAGGTGAGTTTCCTGCAGTAACGCGATCTGGGCCCTATCTTTTTTGAGCAAGAGTATTTTACGCCTCTTAATGACATGATTAATTCCCTTGACATTAAGTGTTACACATTTTGTGTTACTCATTATGAAAAATGTGATTCATTAAACATAAAATTAGCAATCCAAGTAAGCAAAAAGACCCATCACAATAAACAAAATGTACAAGTTTAACCTATGACCTGGACTGGCTGTGCTGACATGAACCAAACCATCACACTCTGATGGCAAACAAACCCCCACACACACAACTAACCACATAACAATAGCACAAAAAAACATAAAAGTAAATATATAAATCAGAAACAAAAAAATGAAAATCGCAATAAACACAACCGACGTGCCATGCCTGGGTCGCCTCAATATAATAATCCAAGTTGAACGTTAGTCCAGTGCCTTGATGAAATTCTGTGCATCTTTCGGCGAGTCAAACTTGTGTTCAGTCCCTTCATGAGTCAGCGTGAGTGTCGCTGGGTAGCGCATGTTGAAGCGGATGCCCTTGTCAATCAAAGCTCGGCAAGTAGCGTTAAATCCCCTCCGCTTCTCACGGACTGCATAAGAGAAATCCTGGTGTATAAAGATCCGCTGTCCCTCGTAGTCAAGCTCGGGAGTCGCCCTCACTGCTGCCATGATGCACTGCTTGTCCCGGGGGTTGTGGAGCTTGATGATGACCGGTCTGGGACGTGTGCTCCGCGGGCCGAGGCCCCTGTGTGCGCGGCCTACTTTGATACGAACTTTACCCGCGGAGCTGTTCCCCAGGCCGAGCGTAGCAGGCAGCCAGGCTTCGAAAAACTGGATAGGGCTCTGACCCTCCGCGCCTTCTTTCAGATTAATAATTCGGATGTTATCCCGCTTGCTCCTGTTCTCCATATCATCCAATCCCTTGACCATGGTCTTAATTTTCTCTTCGGCTTCAGTAAGTCTGTCTCAGTAACGCGTGCGAAAGTCCTGCCAGTGAGGACGATATTTTATCCAGAGTCCCAGAAAGTGCGGACAGTTTTTGGTCCATTACCTCACTGATACTTTTAGTCACTTCACGGACGAGGGCAGCGGTGTCCGCCGGAGGCGAAGGCTGGTCACCGGTTGCTGCTAGCACATCAGTTTGGCTAGCACTGGTAGTCATCGCGGCGGCCGCCGTCTTTCGTGGTTGTATTTTCGTTTTGACATCGCTCGTTATCCAATAAATGTATTTTGCGGTGTCGCGTATTCGTAAAATGCCAATTCAATATATCTCTCGAAAATATAGACAGTAGCGCGTATTATACTGTGATATAGACGGGTGGGAGCAGGAGCAAAGTAAAAACACGTCTTCTAGCCCGCCATCTTCACCGGAACCCCCTATTTGATCAAATTTTACTTCATATGTTGGAAACTCCGTATGTTTAGGCATCAGAAGTAGAGGTTCTGCTGTAGTTAGATTTTTTATGTTGAAAACATTTGATTCAAATTAATTTACATGATATGTTCTTTTCTTAGACTGGAAGGCTGCAGGTTGTCAGAGAGCAGCTGTTCTTCTGTGTTCTCAGCTCTGAAGTCCAACCCCTCCCATCTGACAGAACTGGACCTGAGCTGGAACCCCATCTCTGAGTGTGTGATGAAGGAGCTGAGCAGCTTTCTGCAGAGTCCACTCTGTGGACTGAAGACTCTGAGGTCAGACTCCAGGTCCAGCTGACATTAAATGATTAACAGAAGCCTTTTAAAGATTCCTACTGAGAGTCTTCATGTTTAAATGTGATGTAAATTCATTAAAGATTCAATTAGCATGACAAAATAAGCCATATTTCATTAAACAGTTAGAAACTCAGCTCCTACAAAGCTCATTATTCATGTTTCT